AAGTGGATCTGGAGAAAATTACTAACCCTGCCTTTAAAGCTAATTTGGTACCTCACTGAATCCAGGATTGGATTACTAAAAGTTCCTCAAACCCATAACCACCAAAAAGGAGATGATTTCTTATTACCATACGTCTCATTTACTAAGAAATCCTGGTCTGAGCAAACTTTTAGGGACTCCTGAGCTTGATAAAGGAATGTAAATATTCTGTCCATTTCCTGACTTCCAAAAGAGCAACAGATACACCTGGAAAAAAAAAGCTTCCAATTATCCCTCCAGGAAGCCAAGAGGGACTTCAGAGATTCCTGGGAAAATCTGCGTTACTCTTGATCGCTTAATTGTTATGACATACTTTCTTTTGTGTTAGAAACACAGTCAGTGTGGTTAATCTGTGGTGCAACATATGGCATGATAACTCCTTTTCAACAACTTTTCACTTTTGTGGGCAGATCAAAAAAATCCCAGGAGACCAGTTTTGATAAATCCAGTGTTGACAGTCTGAGCTGCAAATGGGAGGAGGGAGGAAGGCGTGTGTAGGAGGAGGAGGAGGATGAGGGTGTGTTTGGGAAGAGGGAGGAAGGTGTGCTCTGTTACTGGAGCAGCCGAACACGGCGCAGCGTATCGGTAAACACCGTTAATCACAGGTTAGCAGATGGGAACGTTAATTGCAGAGGAGGAAATAACAAGACCCAGAGGATGCTTCTATTTATCGACACCCCCACTGTTACTGATAAGAGCTGGACGGTGTGTGTGTGTGTGTGTGTGTGTGTGTGTGTGTGTGTGTGTGTGTGTGTTCACACTGCAAAGTGAGGAGTGTCCTGAGGGAAGAGGTGACGAGGGGGGGTTTAATGTTGAATATGAGCTCTCTTACAGTTGTCTTTGTTGTTTATATGTCGCTCACCCTCATCACTGTCAGTGAACACACCACAGGTTATGTCTGAAAACTATTTACTATTACGTCTCGGCTTACAAGTTCAAAACACACAGAAAAATGGACTTAAATCACACAATGCTAGCGATGTAACAATCCACTCAAGCCACGATTCAATAGCCTACATGTCACAAAGCTGTGTCACACTACAAGAGAATTAAAATGTTCCTATAAACAAGCCACTGAAGACAAATCGCTGTGCACACTGTTTTTTGTCTTGTCTGTTGTTTTTCACCGACTTTGAAACAAGACGGTGTTTTCTCGACTGCAAAATCTTTGCTAGCCTCTATTTGGCTTCTAACGCAAGAGATGTGATGACTTCCAACAAGAGAAGCACAAAGCAGAAGCAGATATCCCTCCCTGCTGGTTCCAGAGTATCCCAATTGTCCTGTTTCAGCGATTAGAATTGGTCTCCTATTTGTATGAATTTTTTTTTATCAAATGTTTCTACAAACTACCCAAAATTAAAATGTTCCTAGAACTGGATAGTAGGTATGGTGTAATTGTTTTGAACAGGTTTCAGGAGAGGTTATCGTTTCACTGAATCGGGAAGATGTTAAGTCTGGACTGTGCGGGAAACAGAAGAGAAAACAGAAGTGACAAAATACAGATTGCATTTCTTTACAGGGCAGACATGATGTAGATTTCATATTGTGTTTTATTAAACTAAAAATAGATATATTTGTCTGTGTAAATCTATGTTAATTAACTCTATTATGTAGTAGTGTGGGACTTTTGTGAGACTGATGACTGCCTGATTGTCTAAAATTGGTCTTGCATCACAGCGGCTCCATTTGCAACATAAAAATTAAAGACAAGATACAACAATTCAAACCCCAAAGAAATATTCAGAGGCCTTAAACGTGCTATGATCCGGGATTCAGCTCCATATTCTATTTAAGGATTGAATAGTGTACAACATAGTGCTTCAGTCAGACGTTAAAAAACGTGGGACCCTGTATCTCAGGTTTGATGGTAATATTTCAAATTCACTGTTCAGGGCGAGGGTCAGAGACAACGCTGTATTTCAGCCTCTAACATGTTGCAGACGTGGATAGTTACTCTTGAAATATCCACCTTTTTAGTGTCTCAAGATGAAGAATCTTAAATATTTGTTTCCACTAATGAAAAAGTAATCAAACTGTTTGATATTTTTAGAAAAAGTTTTTATAACAAACATAATGGGACTGTATTCTGTAAAAGATGTGTCTTTTAATTATTATGTGCACAACCACCAATAAAAGGCCAATATTAAATATCCAACCATCACGAGCCTAAAGTTGGGTCAAATGATCTGATTATGACAGAGATTACTTTTTTAGTACAAGAGTTTAACTAAGTAGAAATCCATGAATCACGTTTCATCAATTCTGTCCTAACAGTTTTGCCTCAGTAACAATTTGACCTTGATATTAAGAGATTATTTATCTCATGTTTACAAAGTAAGATCACTTTGGATCATCCCCAAAAAGGTCTTTTTATCACACATAGTGACAAGCAGACAGGCTGAGTAAAGGATCAGAGTTCTTCTCCTTCAGATGTGTTGATATTGTCCTCAGACAAACAACCTGCACGAGGCTCTCTCAGCATTCAAATCAATCAGCATGGCTCTATGAATCCAAAAGCTGCCTAATTGATGCACTAATCCAGTCACTAAGTACTGCAGCGCTGTGAAGTCTGCCCAAAGCAAACAGCACGCACACACACACACACACAGGAGTCATCAATGAGCTGCTTCTCAAACAGCAGAGAGCTGCAGGACTGACAGAACGTCTATGAAGTATAGATCAAGGAGAAGTGCAGCGTCCTCAGCTCAACACCTTCAACCTGAAACACCAACAACGCTCCTGTCCAATGAGCAGCCAGGATGTGAGGCTGTGACACGTTTTCTGTAGATTTATGTCATTTATTTGACTGCAGGGTAAATGTTAAGGTGGCTAACATCAACAGTTTGGAGACTTTTGTGAGTTCATGTTGTGCAGGTAAAACATGTGTACTGTGTAATGTTTCTCACATCACCTCAAATCTCACGTTGAACATGTCTGTAACATATATTTATGCAGACTTTAAGGGGTTAAAGAGCCCATTAGGACGGTAAGGTTCTGCAGTCAAAAACATTATTGTTTTTTGTATATTCCACTTCCTATTCCTCTAAGCCCCATATCGTCTGTGTTTCCAGAAATTGTGTGATTTCCTCATGATGAAAATGTGCACGTTTTTTAAACGTCTACTCCAGTTGGAGGAAACACATCCACTCCTCACTCAGAAACGTCCTGAGTCAACCAAAACTTCAAAATCCAGAGGACAGGATCTTTGCAGACACAGTCACCACCACACATGTATGGCGTGATGATTGAGCGGCATTACTTTTGTATAAGCCTATATTTTCATCTCTACAATCTCTCTCTAAGAGTGAGAGAGATTCAAAGGTAAGGCTGCAGCCTCTAACGTTTCTTATTGTAGCTTCATTTGGCGTCTCAGGAGTCTGCTTGCAATTTTTTGGTAATAAAATACAAGAATTGACTTAATATCTGGTGCCTAGGACTTGTAATTTTGGTTGCCATGGTATCGATTTTGTTTGATTTATTCTATTTTTGTATCCAAGTTTCAAATGCTGGTACTGAGACAACCCTAATCTGTGGTGTAAAAGCATTGCGTAATGACATTTTAATAACCTAAGAACAACATCTGTTGTCTGTCCTTGTCTGTTTTCGGGGTAATCTGCAGATCTTAGAGTCAAGAGTCTTCACCGTAACTGTTAGCGTGTTAGACTTGGTATTCTTCTTTGTGTTGAAGTTGAACTTTATGACCTCTTGTCTCCGAACTGAGAGATGAAGTCCTGAACTATAACTGGAAGAAGAGAAGGTTGTCATTAAAGCCGCTACTCAAGGAGGATTGAAGTTTAGCACAGGTCCTTTCAGTATGCAGCTGAGACAGCAGGAGGGTGGGGGGGTTGAATGCAGGACGAGATAGGAATCGATCGTGAAAGAGTGTTCCTCCCCACCAACACTGAGGTTAAAGGAGAAGCCTGCGCAGAAGAATGTCCTACTGAGTAATTACAAGAGCATCTCTCTTAACACACACACTGACCCGGCTTTGAGGCGTACGCGTGTTAATAATCAGAGCTCATAATGAACAGAATCCATAGGTCTGCTGGGTTAAGGTCCTCTACAACCTTGCTCCAAGCAACAACGGCCAAGAAACAGCACTGTGCTGAGCTTTATGTTAGAGCTGTGCTGTGCTACTGCCCCCTTGTGGACAAACGAGGCTCAGACAACCTCCAATGGATTCAAACTGTTTCACTTGTACTTTTATTTTACAGGGGACAAAATCCATATGAGCAGCCTCTCAGTCGTTTAATGAGCAGCCTCTCAGATGTTAATGAGGCCTCCATTATGTTACCAGGAATGATCCTATTCTGTCCTGTTGGTGTGTTTATATCATATTCTAATTATGGGTATTTAACAAATGGATCTTTTGTTGTATTTTCTTTTTTTTTCATCTTATGTTCATGTGGTTGTGAGGTTTTTGTTGTTGTTGTTGTTGTTTTTACAGGACCATCAAGAGGTAGAGGGGCCGCAGTTTAACTTGAAAGCAGTGGCATGTGCATCAGTTTTAATGCAACATAATTGTCTCAATACAAACAACAATGTTATAAATAAATACATGATGATGAATATGCAGTAATGCTCCTTTTTCTATAGAGTACATTTGTCATGGACCATCCAAGTTAGCTCCCGTTATTTTTATGAAATAATTATATTTGCTTTCACAGAGAAATCATTTATTGGAGCTAAAACAGTAATAAAGAATAATTTTGAGGACATGTCTCACTGTTTTACATATTTTAAATGAGTAATATGTAACTCTGACACCTTGTGTAATGAAGTCCAAATTCAAAACATTGAAAAGAGGCCTCCCTGGTTTTGTTTGGGTTAATTTAAAAGGAAAAGAATACCTTTAAACATTATTATCACGAGTTATAATCCAACCCCAATACATCCAAATCATTCCAATGACTGTCAATAGAACCAAACACGAAAGAAATTACAATTTTTCTTATGTTGTTTCAATATTTATTTATTCTTTGTTCAGTGTAAGAAACTTATGAAATACATGTAAAAGACTTGATGTGAGTAAAAATATTAGTCACAAAACATACAAACATTGTTTTAACTTGGGAAGTCCTAAAAGGTAATGCATCATTACTGATAAGGGCAAATTTCCTGTTAAAATTACTTTGCATTTAAAGGAAGAATATGCAACATTTTACACATAGTCCGAGTCCCGCCAGCTGAACTGTTGTCAGAGCTGTGTTTACATGGACGGGACAGCCTTGTGTAAAAAAGCTGTTTTAGTCAAAGACTAGAGAAAACAAAAAGAACATACTCACTTCATATTTTGATGTCTTGTAAGTGTCTTTAGATCACGATCATTCAATGTCAATTAATGTGCAATATGAATATACGAGTTAACCAAAGTGTGCTAACATGTGCGTGCTTAAACAACAAAGCAGATGACAGTTAATTGCAGCCTGAGCAATGGACAATTTTGTCCGCCGCTTGCGCTTAACGGTGCAGTCTAATTGATAACTCCTTCTTGCAAATGCGAGTGGAGAGGGGTTGGAGGTGTGAGGAGAGCAGAGGCTTCAGATTAGCGGAGGTGGCGCCAAACAGAAGTTTCTTTTAGTTTAATGCTGGTGTACAAGGGCGACATCTACTGGATCACAATGTTGCACATTCTTCCTTGAAGGGGTTTAAATATATAACCATCAGTGAAAGTAGAAACAAGGGTTATCTTGTGAAAGACATATACTATTTATCTATTTAAACTTCTATTACATTTTTCAAAGCTCTCGCAGAAAGGCATCAGATTTGGTCCATCTCCAAACAGTAGTGCGTATAATAGTGCTGACTGTGCATAAAAATAGTTTGAATCAAATAAAATTATAATTTCTATCTCTAAAGATAACTTGAACTGTGCATTTGAAGAATCTCCACACCCGTACTCTCTCATGAATCCACTATAATGTCTCTTTTTCCTCACTCATTCGTACCTCCTGCAGGTCCTCATATGTGCTGTGCTCTTTTAATCAGGTATAAATCCCACCACGCTGGAGTTTAAATGGTTAAGATCATCCTCACAAGTGAGAAAATCTTGTTAATCCACTTGGGCAATCATGACATATCTTTGTTTCTGTCACATCTTCCATCTGATAAAAGGAAATTATAAGGAGCGCAAGCAGGTAACAGAAATATAAAAACATTTTAACGCTTTGTGTGCTGTCAAAGACCCATCTGCTCTTATAGGACCATAAGAAAGCAGACCTGAGGCCTGAGACGTCTCTGATGAGTCCCACAGAGTCCTCAGAACTCCTAGATCAGGTCTCAGTCTCTCATCATAAGCCGGTTAACCTCTCACTCACTTCCCACAGCTTCTTAGCCAGAGCATCATCTCGTCCCCGGGTCCCAACTTGCTGCAGAGCACAGCTAGAGAAGTAGCGCCCACTGAGAGGTTCGATCCCCTCCTGCAGGGCACAGTGCAAAGTGGTCTGGGACCCCCCCTCAGGGTCAAGGAAGAAGAGCTTGGCAAAAGGAGACAAGAGGAGCTGCTGCCAGAGGCTCATACTGCGACACAGTTCTGTATAGATGACTCCTGGAGGAAGAAATGATTTATTTGTTTGTAATGTTTTAGGAAACAGGCAGGAAACAGTTAGCCAATGAGAGAGAGTCTCAGACCCACAAGATTTCTTTGTTCTTTAAGTTCGACATGTGTTCCCAGCAGAACCTTCCTTTTAAACAAAAATGTCCTTCTGGGTACTGTATGCAAGCAGAGTAGCTTTTTTCCAGGGATTGATAAAACCTGGAAATGGCACGGCTGCTCAGCCTTGGTTCAGATTTTGCCTGGTGGTCAGTCGTGGTATTGCAGTTAAAAAATGTGCCATGGCCCACATAGACCACCATTATAAGATAGAAATCTACAGCAGCTTTCAATAGCAGTTCTCGCTTCCTTATGCAGCGGTCTTCAATGTAGCATACGATGTTTCCACGGCAACGAAAAACATGTCATGTCTGTCATGACAGCCGCCACAACAAAACGCGTCCCGTTAACTATAAAGTTAGGGATTTCTCTGGCTTTGATGACTATCAGAAATATTCAAGGTTATTTAAGTACTCAACAAAAAAAAATATGACAAATGTTTAGTCCATTTTTGATTAATTTAGATATTTGTGTGTAAAATTATAATAAAATTCTAGATATTGTACCTTAAAGTCGTTAAGCCAAAGTTTGTGCTTTATTCTCAGCTGTTTTATTGAGGGGGTTTTTTTGTATAAAAGAAATGTAATGCTTCATGCCTTCATGCATTTTTTAAATGCCCATACTAATAATTTGCAGTGATGTTTAACAATTAAAGTTTAATTTATTTCTGCAAGTGCTCTATTAGTTGTTGTAAGAGTTAAAAATCAGCTTAAAATCAGATGATCAAACTGAAACTACTTCCCAGTCTGATCCTGAAGTCCAAAGTAGCTTCCTGAGGATCTGTTAGATAACACAAACGTCCTGTACAAGCTGAGCAGTGAGAACGTACCTGGGTGCAGACTGTAGCAGGTGACGCTGGTGCCCTCCAGCCTGTTGGCCAGCTCCCTGGTAAAGAGCACATTACACAGCTTGCTACTGCTGTAGGCCTGAAAGTTGTGCCAGGTGGACTGACCGGACACCAAATCCTTCTTGGAGGCTAGAAGAGGGAAGTCGATGCTGCCCAGGCGATGCAGAAGAGCAGAGACGTTGACCACCCGACTGGGACCGCACTTCTGCAGACGCTCCAGGAGGAGGTTAGTGAGCAGGAAGTGACCCAGGTGGTTCACACCGAACGCCATGCCAAAACCATCCTCAGTCTGTCCTGGCCCCATCACACCTGAGGCACAGAGCGTGGGAATTAAAAAACTTTGGTTTCTTTAAATATTTTGCCATGGAGAGGCACTATGCTTTCACTGCCTCACCTGCGTTGTTGATGAGGAGGTCCAGTCTGGGTTCAGTCTTCAGGAAGTTTTCGGCAAAGCTTCGAACGGACTTCAAACTCGCTAGATCCAACTGCATGAACACCACCTGATTGTTCCCAGTCTCCTAAAGGACATTCATGCTGAGTCAGTCTGACTGTCTTTCACAAACAAACAAATGTTCTTGCCTTTTTTCTGCTTTTTAAAATAATGTTTCTAATATTCATGTTGAACATAACAAACTGTGTTTGCAACATTTTCCGACCCCTTTAATGCAAAAATAAATCCAGGAACAGTTTATTTTCTCTATTTGTTGGTACCAATTAATTGGAGCGTAGCTGATGGCTACCTTGAGCTTTATCTGACTGCATGAAAATGTAGTAAATACAAAAACATTTTACTTGAACCTCAATCCAACAGGTGCTGAGTGAGAAAGCATTGTTTGTCTATGTTTTCTCTTTCTTTTTTGTGATTATTGCGAATGCTCATATCTCCATGACGATGAAACTGTGATTAATTGTGCAGCCCTAGTATAATCTTCTGCACTGGACTTGTTAGAGCTCTTCCTAGAAAACAGCCACAGCAACAGCAGCATCTTTATACAGACAACTGACTCTGCGGATGTCGTAAGCAGCCGTCTCAGCCTTCTCCTTGTTGCGGCAGGCCAGGATCACTCTGGCTCCTCTCCTCGCCAAATCCAGCGCCGTCGCCTTCCCAATGCCAGTGTTGCTTCCTGTGTTGGTCAATAATTCAGATACATTAAACCCTGTGGTAAAGAGCAGCATGTCACTTCAAAATAAAGGCATTTTATTTTGTTTTTCAGCACCAAATAATCTGGCAGAAGACAATAATGTTATCAAACATGTATAAAATGTTAAACTTCAGGTTTTTTATGTGAAACAAAAATAGTTTTATTGTATAATTGGCAGGAACTACTTCAAAACTATCTTCACTTCACAATCTTGCTTATTTAACATAATTATTTTACATATCAACTGTGTTTAATACACTACATAGCATCTGTGTTTATTCTGTTGCTCTGACAGTAAATGTATTAAATGATATCGGAAAAAACAGTTCGTATCTTATAATGTGATTTTGTGACAACATCCGGGTACCTGTCCGTGTCATCCCCGCATAATAAACATTAGCGTACAGCTAAGATGTCAACAAAGCTAACAGGTTAATCTGTTACCTGTAACAATGGCCGTCTTCCCCTTTAGCTTCACTGAACTTGAGTACCTGGCTCCTCTGAACACACCGTAGTAAAGTATCACATAAAAGGAAACTGCTCCCGCTACGAGGCAAAGCAGCAGCGACATCTTTGTAACTTGAAGAAAAGCTACCGGTGAAGATTTCAAGAATCAGCGCTCGACAGTTAACTTATTATCCCGGTCTAGACTTTCAAAATAAAATCTTTGTGGTCTTGCAAAAAACATGTTATACTCTTTGTTGAGCCTATTATTAGCAGATTATTATAAATAATTGATACGTGATATTCTTATTTTCAAAGTGGCAAGATAACACAAAATACTTTGTAAATTTGGTTACAGATAAATCACAAATATTTTTTTTTGAAGGACAGTCCGATTCAATAAATTTGAGCAACTTCCGTTTAGTGCTTCCTTGTTAAGCGAGTCTCAACCGGAAGATGTCGCCATTTATTCAAGTCAAAAATAAATAAATTCAATTATCTCTATATATGTGGATAGTTACAACCACAGATCTTTTGATTATTTTTAGCGTAAACACAAACCAAAACAATATCTTACATAAATAATTAAATTCCACTAATGTTATCACTTTATTACTCTTAAACATGTGACTAATATATTTTTTTCTAAATATGAGTTGCACATCTCGAAACTCTTTTATTATATTGGGGAAATATATTTATTGATGATTTTAGGTTAACTACCCTTCTTTTCGTTTTATTCATTCAACCCAGAACTTAAAGCAAAGACATATTTAAAAACCTCTTTAATGCATCAATCTGATGTCTCAGTCTTTGAAAGATTATTTTTTATTTTGTTTATTGTTTTTATTTGAATTAACTAAAGTAAAAGTCCATCCGGTACTTTGATTGATTAATTAATAGGTATCTAGATAAGTATCATTTCACTAGTTGCAATGGTTAGTTTTTTGTCCCTTATTTTTTATATTCCTTTAGCATATGATTTCCATTTGAATACTTATTTCCCCTGTGTTATGTTGTATCTTGTTTGTGTCTGAAGTAATGCAAAACAGGAAACAAAGCCCAAAACAGGATGAGATGTTTATCAACAGTTCTCACTGTTTCCAGAGTCATTGCTTGGAGTTGGCTGGCAAAAATCAAATCAGTACTTTAAACTTTGACAAGGGTGCTTTGAAATAGTATGCTTAATCACTGTTTGTGGCTAAAACAATGTTGACTTACAGCAATGGCATTGCATAAAACACACTGTAAGCAGCAGTGTTCAGATATATTATACTCACTTTACTTATTAAGATTGTTAGACCCCATTAGTAGAGGTAGTATTCTAAAAGTGGCAAGAAAAAAAGTGAATGAGTGGCTGCACCTCTGGACTGTAAAAGATAAGTAGAGTAAATCAGAAACAATAACCATTATGACTATGGTTTGCTTAGTCATAACGTTATCGTCATGGAGAGCGGAGTGCCTGAAATACTGTAACTGATTTATCTTGTCAAAAAGTTTGTAATGTAGGGCACATAGAATGAATTTGAATTGTGGTTTTGGTTTTGGTACAAAAGATTAAACAAAAAAATAGAAATCAAGTCAGCAGCAGTGCTTCATCTTCCATATGATTGGGTTCAAAAACATAACAAAATATGAATTAATAAAAGCTTAAAGAATAACAATGTTTCAATTTTTTTTTAAGATAAGATATAACTTAAATAAATTTGGATGGAAATTATTTTAAGTGAAATAAGCGTTGTAAAGTTTTGCAGGAATGTGCACAACATTACCTTGGATGTGTGCAAATGTTGTCTGCATAAAATACAGAGAGGATGTGTAAAAAGTGTATTGTACACAAGTAATAATCCAGTGTTTATTTACAGTATGCAAAGCTTTCTTTTACTGGAGTGACTTTGAGTTTTTTGTTTTTTTTTCCAGACAAACGAGACAACGATGCTGTAGGAAAACTAGTTCTACAGCAGTGTGTGGGTAACGTGATTTTATGTTGTTTGGAGTGTCTCTGTGTGTGTGTGTGTGTGTGTGTGTGTGTGTGTGTGTGTGTGTGTGTGTGTGTGTGTGTGTGTGTGTGTGTGTGTGTGTGTGTGTGTGTAGGTGTGGCCTGTGATGATGTCGAGGAATGCATTTGAGCCTTTAGATAATGAAGTTTGTTTAGCAGTCGTGACAATAATGTAGGCAAGAGGTTAGAGAGAAACCCCAGGATCAAATCAACAGGCGTTTACTTATATTCATTGGTTGCAGTGTTTCTTCTGATTTTGAATCCTGCTTGCTCTCCAATCCTGAATCCCCTTTACCATCCTTATTAAATAGTTACTCGACCTGTATCTCTTTTAGCTGATCTTTAAGTTCATGTTAGGAAACCCTCCGAACAATCTAGTCTCTCTGCCTAACATAAACAGATTTAGATATAACATGATAATTTGTAGGTAGTCATTCTTTAAAGGGGTATTTTTTAAGGGTTTGGGACCAATCCGATCTAATATCAGTATCAGGTTATATTGACAGAATTTGTTGACGTATCAGATATCAGACGTGCCAATCAACGTTCCAGGTCAAGAAAGATGGTTGGGGCATTTAAACATTCTCAGCTTGTACAGTCTCACTCTGAAGACGTTCAGACTGAACTGTAAGAAGTGTCAACGAATCGTCTCCATGACGACATTCAGAGGAGATGGAACAGCTTCTTCTATGTGATCAAAAGTACAAATCGTACACTTCAGTTTAAAACTTTTAATTTGAAAACCTGGGCTGTTGCTGCTTCCTGTTTGTATGTGAAGCCAGCACAATGCAATGCTGGATTTACAACAACCTTGTGTAGCCTCACACAAATTACAAACAACAACAATAACATTGTTAGTTATGATAACAAATATCAGTATCGGTATCAGGATTGGAACTGAAAAAAAATTTATTAGTGCATCTCAAGTCTTTTTTAAACTCTAAAGGATAACAAAAATAAAACACTGATTTGTTTGTCCTGGTGTTTAATGGCAACCAACATTCTTAAACATGTATTAATCATGCTGCTATTTCCAAATAGTCCAATGATATCAAATGTATAGTAGGATGCATATTTAATAACTCATAATCATAATGTCATACTTGCTGTTAAGTTTGTATAAAGGTATTTGGAGGATATGACTCATGTTGAGTATTACTGAAACAAAGTAAACTTTTACACACAGTTATGCTGATATATTTGATGATGTGTGGAGTTATCTGCTCATTGGTGTGTGTGCACTTTATACACACAAACACATCTCTACACTAATGAAAGTTGTCTAGTCATGATGACTCAACCATCAGGTTTCACTGGTCTTAATCTTAAAGGGGTGAAGAGTGAAGTGCAGGAAATAACCAAAATCAATAGGATCAAACAGGATGTGTGAGTTCATTTACTATGACTTTAGCATTGAGTTTGACTTTAGCAATGACTGAGTTCCATGATCAATGAAAGAAATATCGATTTTATTGGCACAATTCTTAATTTTAGTTGCAAAGACAAAACCTTCATTCCACATTTTAGCCTTGAGCAAAGCTCTCCAAAGAAAAAGCTGGAAAAAAAACTACAAATCCCACTGTTGCATCCAAAGTGTTCTGTGCAACTTGAGTCACACGAATATCAAATTGACTGAACACAATGTGTTCATGTCTGTATAGTAGTCTGAGTTTCTGCTGGTCCTGGGTCAGAAAACAGCCCTAAAGCAAAATGTATTTGTATTGTAAAGTGTCTATCAGAAGTAACTAATCCCATTCTTATGTATACATCGCTGATGAAGCAGCGGGAGCAACTTGGGGTTATGTGTCTTGCCCAAGGACACATCAGACAAGTTGCTGCAGGGGCTGGGGATCGAACCCCCGACCTTCGGGTTGAGAGAACCTCTTTTACTAAGAAGGTTTAGTCAACCAAACTAAACTTTTCTCAAGTGAATCTTAGCTATATGGCTTAAACCTGTTCCACTGTGGTAGCTAAAAAACTATGTTACTATGTAGCTTCAGACAGAGGCATGTCCAGAATTTTTGAATGGTGTGCCTGTTACTTTATTTAGTAACATCAAGATATCATACAGTTGTCACTTTCCTCTGTTATGTAAAAGAAAAACCCAATCAGAATGTCTCTCTCATTTGGAGACACACCATTGGCTGAGAGTTGTATTCATAGAGATCATAGTGTTGAGTAATCAGGCCTGCCTGAGCAGGATCCCTGCTGAAAGGCATTCTCATGATCTCTATAAGTTACATGGCAACGTTATCTGTGTGGTTTATCAGGCCGCAGCATACCAGCTGAGAGCTGCGGGTGGGACTGCAAGTTAGCATGACATGTAGATAAAACTGTGTTCAGTTTCACATTGGTAGTTAAATTTGAAAGTTGGAGAAGTGAAACAATTCTATGCTATATTTTCTAAATAACTAAATACACAAACTTTATTCTTTATGGGTCCCTGAGACACTGTTTGGAGCTAAAAAGCTACCAGGAGAGGTTTCACTGTTGGGTGCCCCCCACATTAACTTCTTGCATAGCATTTTATCTTCAAACACTTTTCCAGGGACCAAATGTTCCTCTGAGGACAGTTTGTGTAAATTTCTCCAACTTTCACATTTCTCTACCAAATCTACATAGAGCACCTTTAATTTATTAGCTCTTCTTATAGATTTGTAAACCCATTTTGTAGCAAATGAGAGACTTGAGTGATGTACTGATTTTGAAAGAATAAAGCACCTCCTCATCGGTATTAAACTGAAATGGAAATGTCCAAACAACTGCTGCATGTGAGCTTTGTAACCACACATATTTCAGTTTCAGTTAGTCATTGCTTCTTTTCAGTTGTGTTTTGCAGAGAGCAAGAACGCATACCAATCAGTGGAAAAGCTTCAACAGTATAGACAGAAGCAGATTTAATGTTCGGACACCGTGTTTGGTTAGAGTCTGTAGGTAAGCACTGATTTTCCCAGGAAGGAAGGCAAGTTTATTTATATAGCACATTTCAGCTACAAGGCGATTCAAAGTGCTGCACACAAGACATTAAAAGCATCAAGTCAAAGAGGAAAAGATGTATTGAAATAGTAACTGTAAGCATAATCAAAACAAACCATAAACAATCACAGAGACGATTATGTTAAAATCAATCAAATAAGATCCAAAAGAAATGTACAGAATCATGTCTGTGTAATCTCTTTCGGTGTTGTA